CAGTAAGTTATCTAAGAAGAGATAAATTAATACATAAAATTAGCTAAACACAAGGAAAGAAAGAAAACACTGCTCTGATACCACTTGTTGGTCCCGTAAGGGTCWACAAGAATAGAAACAGTTTGTAGAAGGGGGGGATGAATACAAACATAGTATTTTCAAATTTAAAATATATATTGATAGAGAAGCTCAATACAGATTTTACAAGACTGTTTACGGAAAGATAAGGTAATAGAAACCTATCTAAACAATCTTTGGTTACACACAAAGCTTTAGCAAATACAAGAAAAGAGATTGCTAAAAGGAAAGATCCTTTACTTAAGCTAGAAGATGCTTGAAGTAAGAATAAGGTTAGAGAGAGATGCGCGCTCTCTGCATGGAGAAGAAACACTTCTATTTATACCCAGTGCATTAAATGATCATTTAATGCAATATGGTAGGTTTAGAGTGYGTGTCAAACCTTAAGAGGAATGTTTGTTTTTTGCTACAGTAAATAGTACAAAAGCACTATTTCTGAGCAGACATCCTTACCTAAAGTTGGTGGACAAAGAGTCGACTAATCGGCTCCGTACCGTACTAACTTTTGTAAGGGTATGGGTTTGTCCTTTGTGTGCATAAGGATAAGACAACAACAATCGTGCTAAGCAAGCTTCCTTTGATCGTTGAATGCTGGAATGACTTGGAGGTCTCATCATCATTCGTTGAAGCTAGAGCAGTCTTCACACATATATATTCAGGCTTGTAATCACTGAATACCGCTTCAGATCACGTACTCGCCAGTCTCTAATCTTCAGTTTCAGTCTTCGACGTTTGCTGAAGGTTCATTGGTGTGAGTGTTGTCTTCTTGAAGTATTGCTGTCTCTGATAGATTTACAATGCAAGTTCTTCAGCGATCACTGAACATACTCAGTGATGATCGCTGGAACTAAAAATACAGAAACACAAATACTACGTGAAAGATAAAAGGGATTATCATCAAATCACTGAGAGAGAGGATCAACAATAGTGTTGTCCGAATTGGTTAAACCGGCCAAGGCTTGACCGGAGATGAAGTCCGACCATGTCTGTCTTGACTGGATATGTGCATTGAATTATGTATTATTTATATAATCATCATTTTAATATTCTTTTAAAAAGAATGGGAAATTTTGATAAAGATGATTTTGAACTGATGATATTTCATTGGAACATTTATGATCGCGGTCTGTTCTATATGGAATTATTTTGTGAAATATTTTGATGAGGAAATAAGGGTGGCATATCAAGGAGAGGTGTACCATGGGATAAGGGTGGCATATCCAGGAGAGGTATATCTTTTGATATAAGGGTGGCATTTGTATGTGTGATGAGTAATATAACTCTTACTATTATATCCTTTAAGATTATTGTGATTTTGGAATCTTTATTTCTTTGTGATTTAAAGATTTAGATTCAGAGTTCTTATTGGAAATCATAGTCTGGATGTTATTGAGGAGGAAATAATAGGTTTGGCTTGAAACTTTGAATAAACTTTGTTTAATTAAAAAGGTTTAAAAGTGGCATTATGATAAATCTGGTTAGTACAAACCTATTTGGGTATTGATGTATTATCTGAAAGCAGAGAGTTTGACTTGAAAAGTGGAAAGGTACTGGTAATATGTTCTTACTTGTTCATATATTTGTTATATATATATAAAAAGTTGTTTTATATAAAAAATTTGGTGATTTTCACCCTACAATAACATATAAAGGGGAACTCACTAGACCTTTCGGTCTAACCCTCGTTTTGTGATTTTAAATATGTATTTCAAGAAGTGCTGACAGTAAAGGAAAGGGGAAAATGTGATATTTCCCTATATGCATATCTGCATGAAGAATTATCTATGACATGTATAGTTTTGGTAGACAAAAGTTGATTAGTACAAGAATGGTATTTTGAGACCATGTATTCAGTACTGGTAGATTCTTGTACTAGGGGACCAATGTGGTGTATATACATGTAATTCTTGTGTATAAAGTATGTGTTACATGCAATGTCTGGTATGGGGTGTTACAACTTACTTACCGGGTAAGACTTTAGTCTACTAAAAATGGCATGGTAAGAGTCGTCGCTCTCACTTACCGGGTAAGACTCTTGGTCCTTGTCTCCCTCTTATCGGGTAAGATTCTTGGTCCTTACCATATTCATCCAGTAAGGTAATGTGACTTAATAAACGCTTACCTGGGTAAGTACTTAGTAAACGGCGCCTTAGATGTTAAAAAGCTACAACATTTGTCATCTAAAGCTTTTGTAAATAAGTCAGCTAGTTGATATTCTGTATTTACAAAATATAATTCAGTAGTTCCTTTTTCAACATGATCTTTAATGAAATGATACCGGATATCTATATGTTTTATTTTGGTGTGTTGAATAGGATTACAGAAAATTGCAATTGCACATTTTTAATCACAGCAAATTGGAATTTTATTGTAATCACTTTGAAGAAATTAATGCAATTAATCTTGGCAAATTCTCTCTTGGTGTTCATATTTTCATCAATCTATTGTTTGAATCTGATTGAAGAATTACTGGGAATTTCAATTCGATGTATCAACAGATGTTTCAAAACAAGGCTTAAGTGGTGGATTTGTAAGAAATTGAGTAGATTCTAGAGCAGGTGAAGATGGTGGTGGTGATGGTGGTGTGGGAAATGATGGTAACTCATCCTCAGAGTGAGGAGGAATAAGGGAGATATTTGTATCAGTAAAGAAAATAAGTAGATGATACTTGGAATTGAGAGACAGAGGAGAACATTGTTTGCTCCTAAAAGGTGATGTATCTGGATATTCATAGGCGCTTGGAGATACGATCCCAACATCATAGCTTTTGTGATCAATTCCATAGCCAAGAAAGCAACACAAATGAGAGCGAGGTTCGAGTTTGGAATGTTCGTGAGGCCGTATCATGACAAAGCAGGCACAACCCCACACCTTAGGACTTTGGTAATTTGGAAAAGATTTATACAACACTTCGTACGGAGATTTATTTTGGAGGATTGTAGTAGGATGACGATTGATGGTGTTACAGCTGACAGAGCTGTTTCACCCCCGAAACGTTTTGGACATTTGGCAGAAATATGGACAATATCAAAAATGTGATGATGTTTTCGTTCAACACGACCATTTTGTATCAAGGTGCAAGGACAAGAGTATTGAGATATGGTACCTTGTTGACGAAGAAAAGTGAGAAGATAGGCTTCTTTGTATCCATGACATTATCAGAATGAAAAAACTTTGATTTATTTGGAAAAATTGTGTAAGAACTATACGAGTGAATGTAATATAAATGTTGGGTAACTCAGAACGATGTTTCATCAAATATATCCATGTAAAACGTGTATGATCATCAATGAATATCACAAAATACCTTGCCCCATCCATAGTAGGATAGCGTACGACCCCACACACCATAATGGATAAGATCAAAAGAAGAGGTAGCACGACATTCATTAATCATAAAAAACATAACACGTTGTTTACCCAATTGACTCGATAAGCAAGAGAAAGATTCATATTTCACATTTCCTAATTGACCATGAGAAATTAAAAGTTTTAGTTTATCAATAGATACATGACATAAACAGGCATGCTAGGTGTCTAATGAAGGAAGACAAGTAAAAGTTGC